AAAAGGAATAAAACAGAAAATTGTTACCTTGAAGGCAACCGTGAATGATAATCCATTCACTAATAATATGTTTGGATTATGCGGAATGGAGTGGAGGGGAAAAAATTCGTTTATTTGTTTATCATAACATTGGAGGGGAGGGGAATAAAGTCTTTTGCTTTATTTTTTCATTTAATTTATTAACTTATCCAAATGAGAAGAGGGGAGAGGAGGGGAATGGAGGGATACAATTCCCCTCCCCTCCATTCCCCTCAACCCAAACATATGATAAGTTGTATGGAAATACATTCAACGTATATATCATCCCACATAACGAAAACTATGATTTGTAAGATATAGGAGAATCAATGGCATGTTCTTTAGACTGACATACTTCAAGCAACCAAAAATAGGTTGCAAGTCTAATCTGCTTCTATGAGTTATGTGATTAAGATGAAAAGCTGTCTCACTACAGAGGATTGCATCCACCTGAATACTCAACTTCCTGAATTGAACAAAGAAATCATACAGTTAGTGAAAAGTTCCACTGAATGCTTTGAAATTCCATAAAGAACACAGAGTCACAGATCTTATTTAGTAAATAACATTGATTCTGTACAGCCAAAACAACAACAACAACAACAACAACATTCTGAGAACCTTCTGCCCCACTAGAAAGATATCAAAAATGGAATTAACAAAAGAAAAAGGAACATAAAAGTTTCCTGTGTACCGAACCTCTATTAGTAAGCCCAATTCAAAAGTTATTCCTATGATGATTGTCTTTCATATCAGGAAGCCATCTTATTTTGAACAAAAAGAGAATGTTTGCCCTTTCCACCCCCACCCCTTAACACCCAAAGATTTTATTTCTACCAAGGAAATGAAAATATCAATTACAAAGGAAGCAAGAGGAAGAAATGTCAAACCTGGGCAGGGGATAATGATGAAACCCAGCCTGATGCATGCGTCGGAAGAAGCCCCAGTGTGTTAAGCTACCAAAATTGAATTAAATATGAAAAATTGAGAATACTGGAGGCAGCAAAGTTTACTCAATAAATCTTCTTACCTTTTCCTTTATCCTCCCTTCCAGTAATATCCATTTTGAGAGACAGCCATTTTAAATTAGTAGGTAAATATATCTCAACCTCCAAACACCAAGAGCTAGACCCCCCAAATTAAGGGCAATGAAGAGCAGCTGGGGACCAAGAAGATCTCCTTTACTGTCTTTATAAGGTTCAAAACCTGCAAAATATCAAAGTCAAGTTTGGATAAATGAACTTGAGTGTTAGTTTTTTGAACAAACAGATGAAGATCTAATAAGTGCAGAATTGAAATTTTCCATTGAACAAATCTGCCTTTTTACAAGGAAATAAAAGAAACTAATAAAAAAAAACTGATGAAAACTAAAATTTAACTGCATTACTTCAAAGAAACAAATTGATCATAAAACAAACAAATAACAGCTAAAAAAAACTCTAAAATAACGTGATAGCATTTGTGTCATTATTAGCATCCATTCCTTGCATTGCTGTTTTCACTCCTCCTTGACACTAATGCTGCTCATCCCGAGCTTGTCTCTTGGGTTCTCAAATTTGCACTTGTACAATCCTTTAGTGAATATATCAGCAATCTGGTCATCTAAATCATAATGTAAAACCTAAACTTCACCTTCACTAACCACCTCCCTAATAGAATGATATTTGATCTTTGATATGCTTGCTTCTACCATGAAGAACATGATTCTTAACAACTGCAACAGTAGATAAATTATCACAAAACAACTCAGTAGGATGTATCTGAGGTTGTTTTAAATCATTAATCAGTTTCCTTAACCACGCAACTTGATCTATAGCAAGAGAAGCAGCAATGTACTCAGCTTCCGCTATTGACTTGGCAACCAAGTCTTGCTTCTTAGAACTCCAACTAATCACCCCTAAACCAATAGAAAAACATTGTTCTGAGGTGCTCTTCATGTCTTCCTCTGAACCAGCCCAATCACTATCTGTGAATCCAATTAACTTCACATTTATTGACCTTTTATAAAGAACACCAAAATCAGTCGTTCCCTTCACATACCTCAGGATCCTCTCGGTTGCCTTGAAGTGTATTTCACTGGGAGAGTGCATAAACCTAGACATAAGGCTCACTGAATGCATTATATTAGGTCTAGTTGCTGATAAATATAACAATCTCCCAATTAAACTACGGTATATTCTTGCATCAATTTTAGCTGCGCCATCATCACTTCTTAGCTTCTCACAAGGAACAATAGGTGTGCTGGCTGTTTTGCAATTAGCCATTGCAAACTAATTTAGAATCTCATTAGCATATTTCTTCTAACATATGAAAATACCTTGACTGTTCTGACTAATTTCCATTTCAAGAAAGTAGGACATTTTCCCTAAGTCATTCATTTCAAATTCCTTCTTCATTTCAACTTGGAACTGTTGAATCAACTTCTCATTGCTGCTAGTGATGAGAAAATCATCCACATAAATTGTAACAATCAATAAATCAATTCCCTCTTCTTTGACATAAAGAGTGACTTTAGTGAGACTCTTTACAAAACCCAATTTCAACAAATATTCATCTATTCTGTTGTACCAAGCTCTAGAAGCCTGCTTAAGTCCATACAAAGCCTGTTTGAGCAAATGGACTTTGTCTTCAGTACCAGCTTTAACAAATCCATCAAGCTACTCCACATGTATTTCTTCTTTCAAATAACCATTCAAGAAAGTAAATTTAACATCAAGTTGGTATACAAACCAGCATTTTTGAGCTGCTAGTGCCAAAAGCAATAGGATGGTATCAAACCTGGCCACTGGTGCAAATGTCTCAAAAAAATCAATACTTGGGAGCTATGAGTATCCCTTTACTACAAGCCTTGCTTTGTGCTTGCTTATAGAACCATCGAGATTAAGTTTCACCTTATAAAACCACTTAACACAAATGACTTTCTTGTTATCTAGTCGATCCACAAGCTACCATGTATCATTTTTCTGAATCATATTGAACTCCTCCAGCACTGCAGCTCTCCAGACCTCTGACTTCATAGTTTCATAAAAATTTGGAGGTTCAACAACACTAACATTGCACCTTTCATAGATATCAGCCAGTGATCTAGTACCTCTAACTACATAATCCTCATCAATTTCATCTTCAAAAATAGTCTCAGAAGATATAACTTCTAAATTCTCCCAATTCCAAGTTGCAGCTTCGTTAAACTTCACATCTCTATTGACTTCAATCTTTCCGGTTCTCACATTAAACACCCTATAGCCCTTTGATTGACTGCTATAACCTATAAAATTTCCAACTTCAACTCTATAATCCCTTTTTGCCTCTAGAATATGCATATAACTAATGCAACCAAAGACCTTGAGATGATGGATGGTTGGTTTAATTCCAAACTAGACTTCATATGGTGTTTTCCTATCAAGTGCCTTTGTTTGAACTTTGTTGAGTAGATATACAGAAGTATTTACAACCTCAGCCTAGAATTTTCTTAGCAAGTTCTTCTCGAACATAAGACACCAGACCATATCCATAACTGATCTGTTTTTCCTCTCACAGACACCATTTTGCTGAGGATTGTATGGTACTGTGAGTTGGTGTTTTATGCCATGGCCCTTCAAGAAATCCTCAAACTGGAGATCAAGTGCCTTTGTTTGAACTCTGTTGAGTAGATATACAGAAGTATTTACAGCCTCGGCCCAAAATTTTCTTGGCAAATTCTTCTCGAACATAAGACACCAGGCCATATTCATAACTGATCTGTTTTTCCTCTCATAGACACCATTTTGCTGAGGATTGTATGGTATTGTGAGTTGGTTTTTTATGCCATGGCCCTTCAAGAAATCCTCAAACTAGAGTGAGGCATATTCACCACTATTGCTTGTTTTTAGAACTTTCACTAACTTGCCAATCTCATTTTCAACTAGAGCTTTAAATTGCACAAACTTGTTAAACACTTCTAACTTTTGCTTCAAAAAATAAACCCAACACATCCTGCTAAAATCATCAATAAACAGCAGAAAATATTTGCTCCCATTAATAGATTCTATTTTCATAGGGCCACAAATGTCAAAGTGTATAAGTTGTAATGGTTTTATAGCCCTCCAATTACTTTTCTTTGAAAAAGGGAATTTGGATTGCTTTCCCTTTTGACAAACATCACACACAACACCACAATCTTCTATTCTAGGTAAATCAGCAACCATTTCATGTGAATGCATTAGTTTCAATGAACTGTAATTATAATAGCCAAATCTTTAATGCCAAATTTCAGATTCATCAACAATACTAGGATAAGCATGCACCCTAGTATGCTTCCATTCCACTAAAAAACTCCTATCAGACATCTTTACCAAAAACAATCTAGTACCAGACTTATCAACAACTTCACACATTTTGTCATGAAAATTCAGAACATAACCATTCTCTAATAATTGGCCAACATTGATCAAATTATTATTTATATCAGGTACAAATAACACATCATGAATATATTTAATACTTGTAGAAGTCTCTACTACAGCTACACCTTTGCCTTTCACTTGCACCAGATCTCCATTTCCTAATTTGACTTTGGATGAGTAACTTTTGTCAATGCTTTTAAAGATACTCAAATTTGGTGTCATATGGTTTATGCAACCACTATCCATTAACCATAAATCACCATTCACTGTAGCAACACAATTCTTCTCAATCTTTGATGCCATGAACAACTTCTCTTCATCTTCATCAACAATTTCAGCAACTTTAGCTTGCTATACATGATGCTTGCAGTCCCTTTCAACAAGGCCAAACTTCTTGCACTTTCTACACTGCACTCTTGGTCTAAACCAACAACGATAATCCAAGTGACCCTTCACTTGACAATTGAATTAAAACAAGGTGTTGTCACTTCTCCCTTTGAACCTGCTATACTAGTACTCTATCTTTTCTTTTCTTTTCTTTTCCTTTCCTATTGTTGAACTGCTTTTTACCTCCATTTATCACTTGAGTGTCATCTTCTTTCACTTGAGCTTTTCCTTTTTCTGTCACAGGGAAAGCTCCTTCAGACGTGATTTCTTGTCTAATAGCCTTTCTTTGCTCAACAACTTGAAGAAAACCAACAAGCTCACTCAAAGTCATCTTTGAAAGATCCTTCAAATCTTCCAACGAGGAGATTTTGTGCTCAAATTTTTTTGGTAGGCTGACAAGAACTTTTTCAACAACCCTTTTGTCTTTCAGTTCTCCACCAAGTACCCTTATTTGGTTCATTGTCTTCATCACTCGATCTGAGTATTCCTTCACTGTCTTTGTTTCTTTCATCCTGAACACCTCAAACTCCCTTCTCAAGTTATTAATCTGCATCTCCTTGGTTTTTTGATCTCCTTGGAACTCTTCTTTGATTGTGTCCCAGACTTCCTTTGCTGTCTCACAAGTAATAATTCTGTTGAAAATTTCATCTAACACAGTCCTATGGATACACGTAAGAGCCTTGTAACTCTTTGTAAACTCTTCTATATGCCTCTTGATTTGATTCAAGGTTGGGTTTTCCGACAAGGCTGCAGGTTCCCTATCATTTTCAACAATGTCCCAAAGATCAAATGCCCTTAGGTGGGCATTCATCTTCACAGACCAAGCAGAGTAGTTTGCCCTATAAAGTATGGAGTTTTGGGTGTGAAATTAGAGGGTTCCATGGTTGAAATCACTCCCTCACGTGTTTACACTCAGTCGACACGGTCCCTCCAAGAGCAAAAGGGCTCTGATACCAATTGTTGGTTTTTTGAACAAAGAGATGAAGATCTGATAAGTGTAGAACTGAAATTTTCCATTGAACAAATCTACCTTTTTACAAGGAAATAAAAGAAACTGATAAAAAAAGTGATAAAAACTGATAAAAACTGAAATTTAACTACACGACTTCAAAGAAACAAACTGATCATAAAACAAAAAAATAACTGCTAAAAAAAATTGTAAAATAACGTGACAGCATTTGTGTCACTGTCAGCATCCATTCCTTGCATTGCTGTTTTCATTAAGGAGCATATACAAATATCATGCAGGTGCCAAATACCACTTGCAAAATTAGATCTAGAAATTGATGCTATGTGAAGCTCACAATCAGTAACTTACATAACCTGAGATGTGGAAGAAAGAAACAATAACAGACTTAATTATACCGAACAAAGAAATAATCATCTACTGTGTCCAGCTTACCCCATCCAACCCCTTGCAAAGCACTTATAGGCTGCCAAAGAGCTGAAAATGTGATGCCAAACGCTAAAGAGATGCACTGCACTGCCAGCCATCTACATCATGAAGCCCATCATCATCAAATTCTTTAAAAGGCCCTTGTCCCACTTCCCAAGATTTCTGTTCAAACAAAAAGGGGGACAAATATTTTTAGTGGCTACTTTTCATTGGCTAAGATATTTTACTTCCAGATAGAGCATATACTCTCTCCACATCAAATATTACTTTCCCTTTGTCACAAAGCCAAGATATGTCTACCTTTCTCGCCAACTCCAAATCAAATTCAGTTTGATAACCAAACCCCGTCTTACAATTGGGAAATATAAGTTGCTGAAATTTAGTTCTTGATGTCCAGCTGTCCCACCAGTTAACATCTATCGTCAGATTAAGAATTTATCTCCTACTCCTACAGACTACAAGCACAGTGATGTATAGGAATTAAAATTACCTGCATTTTCCAATTAGCTTCGGCATCCTTATTTTGCCGGCTGAATGAATTTCAAGAACACGACGCGAATGAAGAACGGAGATAAAATGAGGGGAACCTGATCAATAGAGGCGCGAGCGAAGCCCAGACGATCAGGAATATCGCGAGAAGGAGGAGCAGTCGAATTATCATGAAATCAACAGCCCATCATCGCCCCGACCTCATCACCGCTTTTCACTTCTCCATCTTATTCGTCTTCTTCCTTCTCTGCTTTGTAGTGTAGCGCTCACAACCGGCCGGTGGCCGGGCGATGCTATGTAATTTCAACCCCATCGCATTGACTATCGATTTTAGATGGCAGCTTTTATTTTCTTTTCTTTTTCTTTTCTTTTTTAATTAAAAATTTTTTCTTTTTCGAAGAAAGGAAACAAATACAAACTCACACGCAGTTTCCGCTACTTTGATCCGGTGCATTTAAATTTATAGTTTCAATCAGAGTTTAAAATTGTTGTGCAGTGCTTTTCTCCCCTCACATTCCTCCCTGCTCAAAAAAAAAAAAAAAAAAATTACAAACAATGAGCTTGAAATTGTAAATTAAATTGAAAATCTCAGATTTGCAACTTCAGTCTCTGTGCAGATTTAGATGGATTTAGATAATGAAGAGGATTATTTTCTTTTTTATAATTAGATGTATTAAAAAAATAAATATAACATGATTTTAGAAAGAAAAATATTACTAAATTATTAAGTAATAAAATATATATATTTTAAATCTTAATTATATAACCAACGACTTGTTAGATGTTAAAATCTTAAATTTGAGTCTTATAAATAAAAAAATAAATAAAAAAAAAATTTTCATTGCAAGATTTGACGTGACTCAATTTCATTAATATAAAAAAATCTTAATTATATGAATTTATTTAATTTGTTTATATGTTTAAAATGTATTAATTTTTTATAATTAATTTATATAAAAAACAAAAATTAATTTTAAATTTATCACCTACTTAAATTAACATGTATTTTAAAAAATCTTAATTATATTTAAAAAAATATAAAATATAAAATACAAATATTTTAAATAAATTATATTTGATTAAGCGAACAACCCGTAAATAAAAAGACTCATCCTCTATTAATATTATATATTATTATATTTATAATATTTGTTAAATTTGCTATATAAATATACTTTTTAAAGTTTTTCTAATCTGCTGCTATAGCTAGCTGTTAGGGATTTTTATCTAATTTGACTGTTAATAACTGTAGATTTTATGCATGTAAGGACATCATTTTTAAAAATTTTTTTAATTAAAGGTATTATTTTTTTATTAAACTAATTAAGAGTATCACATTTTAAAAATTTTTAATTACGGATATTATTTTTTTAATTTTACTATTCAAAGATTAATTAAATGTTAATGCTGACTTGGCAAATGGATTTCGTCTGTAGGACCCATTAAGTTGCTGATGTGTAAAAAAATTGGCAGGTGACTACCCTGACTTGGAGCTGATTTGGACAATATAGAATTCTTAATTAATAGTGTCGACACGGAAACATGTTGTGTCAGCACCGAACCCAAAAGTGAAAAGGATGAAACCAACGCATAAGACAAAAAAGGTTAGAAATGGGGATGTTGAAAGCCTTTCTAGAAAAGGTATTAAAATGACTTGTTCAATGTGTGGTTTGCATGGCCATAATAAGAGGGGATGCTCTCGTAAAAATGATCATAACTTCAAGAAACAAATGTTGGAGATTAGAATTATTTTACCATGTGTCTAATTTTCTTTTTTACCTTAAAGCACACATGTGAAATGATATTGGTTTTTTTATTCCTAATTTTTTAATGATAAAATCCTACGAATGCAAGGAAAATTAAAAGAAATCAAATAAGACCCCTTCACATCCAAGAATTGTTTTCAATGTAAAAGGTGCAATTTCTAACCCTCAAGGAAGTGAAAGTGCAAAAAACAATGAAAAAAATGTGATTTTTTTTTATTGATATTATTATAATTTTTAAAAGCATGTAAATATATAATATTATATTCATGTAATTTTATATTTTTGGTTATGTAAGGATTTTGGAAAGTCTAAACAAAAAGACAAAAAAAGAATTATCATAATTTTCAAAGTGAATCATCCAACTCTCTACATAGATAACTTTTTTCATAGACAACAAAATGCTTTACACAAGGAAGTCAAAATTTTCAAACATAGATGAGCCATACTAACTTCTTAAAATTGTTATTTTTGTTAATATAGTTGTTAAAAATTCAATATAGTATATTGAATAAATTTTTTATTTAAAATATTTTCATATAATATATTCAAATAATAAATTAATTTTAATAAATCTATATAATGCACCTTATTGTGTTTAACTAATCTATATATTCATTATCAGTTTATGATTTCTCTTTAATTTTATTTATATATTTTTAAAATGAATAAAAGGGAAACAGATCCTCCAACACTTCTTGGGTGCCGACACTATCCTTTTCAGTGTTGACATTTATGCATGTTATCCAAATCAGCTCCACGTAGGAGCAGCCACCTGTCAATTTTGGCTGCACACTGTGGCCTCAAGATTGAATGTCTCTGCAACTTCACCCACACCAAGACACTGCTGCCATCGCCATGGATCTCAACTCTGAGTTCAACTGGGGCCTAGTTTCTATTTGAGAACTTCATCCAGAAGCCCACAACTTGTGGGCTGAAGCTTGGTTTCGTAAAAAGTAAGAAGGCGACACTCAAAACTTTAGGGTATGTTTGGTTTGAGGGAAAAAGGGCAGGAGAGGAGGGACAGTGACTGCTTTGCAGTGGAAACTTCGTTTTCTGGTTCTGAATTTCCAATTTGTATGTATATTACGTATCGGATTGTTTTGAGCAGCAGGTGTCCGCTGAAGAATGGATAGTTCAGTTTGTGGTGTTATCGGATAAGAGAGTTGTGGACGCGGTTTGTTTGAGTGGTGGGTTGACTGGGTTCTTTTTCATAGTCTTGTCAACACTAATTGCCGCATGGAATATCGTCTTCTTTGGTTGCAACTTGCCTGACCAGACTTCTGAACCCCGTGACTGTTATTAACGAGGAAAATGATATTGAGTGAAGATTTTTATTATACAAATTTTTTATACAATATTAATGTTTATTTAATGATTGATTAATTTTATTTTTTTAGATTATATATATATCAATTTATTTAATAATAATAATATTTTTTTATAGTATTTTATTGAATGATGTAATTTTAAATTATTTTTCTTAATTTTTTAAATATTCCACTAACAAACACTAATCTCTGTATCTATGTGCACATATATATACATAGAGAACTGAACTGAAGTGCTTGGGACCATAATGCCACAAACCTGATGAAACATGGTACCCAATCAAAACCTATTTGATATTTTTCTAGCTCATTTATTTGAGCAAGAAATTGTCTATTTTTAATTTAATGTAAAACAAACACCCCACTTGGTGGGCTCCAGCTATTAGTCAACACAATTCATCATTGTTTACAAGTAGTTAATTGTCGCTTCTCGTTTTTCTTTTCTTTAGAAACATACTATTCACTTGTTCGAGCGCGTAGAAGCCTATTGCCGAGGGAAAAGTGCTTAGACACTTAAAATTTAAATTCTATACTTAGGTTCCTTCTTTAAAATTCTTTATTATATATATAAAAAAAAGAAGAAATATGCTATTCACTTTGTTTATATAAAGCTACCCCTCTGCTTTGTAGCTTATCATTACAAATTACAATATATGCTCCCTCTACCAACGACCTGTTGATCTGAGCGGGGTCGTTGATCTGAGCAGAAAAAGATTGATTCCTCTTAAGTAAGGTCTTGAGTTTGAGTTTTATGAATGGAGAAATAGGTGCTAGAAGAGCTTCTCCCTAATGAGATCCGACACGACTCAATTCCAAATTAGTCGCACTCAATGTGATTACATGATATTGAGAGGTTAATACAAAAAAATATATACTCCCTCTTTTATTCATGTTTTCTGATATATCAGAGATAGACTGGGTTCTGAATTTGGTTAAAACCAGTTTCCGCCTTTCTTTTCATGTCTCCAGAGATTGTGGATGCAACACTAAAACATGAAAGAGAGAGAATTGTCAAGTTCTGAAGTTTGAAGTTTTTTGTTTTGCTCAAAAAATGGAACCAAGAATTCAGTTGCTTTTTCTGGTTGTTTTTATCCAAGCTTGCATCATAGCAGCAGTTACCCATAATCACGATGGTAAGTTTGCTGCTTATTATTTCTTACGTTCTTATAATGTTTGATAAAACTTCTGTTGATTTGGGTAATGAGAGATTTATGCAGACGTTGTTCTTTATCATTTTCATTTGGAGGAAACGAGGAGTCAATACTGAATATCATAAGCTTCTTAAATGATTATAAACATGATCTTCGTTTGTAGATTGCTCATTATTACCCTTGCAATTTATTAAACTGGTTATTGTGTGGGTTGCAGCAACTAGAAATGGGAGGTGATCTACGAAGTTTGCTTCTAAATTTCCTTGTTCTTTCTGGTACATACGAAAAAGTGGCTAAAACAACATTTAGCCCCTCGCTTTATAATATAATACTTTTAACTTTTTATTTTATAAAATTGGTAGTTTTTAGCCTCTCATCTTACAAAATTGGTAAGTTTTAACTTTTTACCTTATACTATGACACTTTTAGTTCCTTATCTGTATGAATTGAAAAAAAAAAAAACCCTGACTTAAGATTATGTTATAATGTTCTGTTAGTTCTATTAGTTGACTGTAAATTTTGTTAATTGACTGTAAATTCTGTTAATTGACTGTTAGTTCTGTTAATTGACTGTTAATTCTGTTAACTGACTGTTAGTTCTGTTAACTGACTGTTAACATCCGTTAGCATTCCATTAATGAAACTAATAAATAAAATTGAATTTAAATTTAATATTTTTTATAATGGAATGCTAACGGATGTTAACAGAACTAATAGAACATTATAACCTGTTAGGTGAGGGTTATTTTTTTCAATTCGTATAAGTAAGGGGCTAAAAATGTCATAATATAAGATGAGAGGTTAAAACCTACCAACTTTGTAAGGTGAGGGCTAAAACCTACCAATTTTGTAAGGTGAGGGTTAAAATCTACTAATTTTGTAAGATAAAGGGTTATAAGTGTTATGTTATAAGTTGAGGAGTTAAAATCTTACTAATTTTGTAAAGTAAGGGCTCAATGTTGGTTTTTGCCTGAAAAGTTGGTCGAGTCTTGATTCTTTACTGCTTAATTGCTTATGCCTTGAAATTGTTTGGCAAAACCTCTGAAGAGTTAGGCCATCAGAAGGCAATTAAATCTCTTTGAAATTGAAGGTTTAAATCTTATATAAACGCCTATTAGGACTCAATTGATTTCGAATCATTGGAAAACAAAACTCCAAAATTCATACCGCCTTATAAGGTGAAACTACTTTTTTTATTCTGCTGCAGTTGCTGCTCTAAATTCTCTCAAGAATATCTGGAGGAATTTACCCCCCAACTGGGTGGGCTCAGATCCTTGTGGTGATGACTGGGTAGGAATTCGGTGCACGAATTCACGAGTCAGCTCGATGTAAGTTCTTGGTTAATTTCCACATTTTGGTTCCCTCGGATGAATTCTTATTCTTGCTCTTCCAGTTTTTGAGGATTGACCTCCTCCATCTGTTGCAGAACATTAGGAAGCATGGGCTTGGAAGGACAGCTGTCTGATCACATTTCGTCCTTAACTGAATTACAGATTTTGTAGGCCCACTATCTGAAGTTCACATGGGAGTTGTTTCAAAACAAACCTGTTCCTTCTCCATTTAAGATAATAATCATTAACGCAATTGCGTTGCTCAGATATCTAAAGATCCAGTTAAATTTAAGGCTTAAGTGAAACATATTGTCTTTAGGCATTATCTACAAAAAATTTTAGTGGTGATTACAGTAGAACACAAAGAACCTTCCTACCTTTTCCATTACTTGGTGGAGGATATTATAATATAGGTATTGATATATCTCTGATCAAGCTTCTTTATGCAGGGATCTATCTCAGAACCTGGGCATGACAGGACCTCTTCCAGCATCAATTGGGAATTTAAAGAAGCTAACAAATTTGTAAATCGTCCACTCTAATTAACACTTTTTTGGGGGTCTTCTCTTTATGGAGATTTATTGTTTACCATTCTCTTCAAACCTGCTTTTGTACTTCTGTGACAGCTTCCTTAATCACTGTCGTTTCACTGGTCTAATTCCCGACGCCATAGGCTCTTTGCAACAGCTGGTCTATTTGTGAGGACTTTTACTCTGATGTGACAGTTAAACTTACAATTTTAAATTGCTGTTGTGGTGATCTTCCATTTTTTCTTTTTTATTGAAACTTGATGGAAATATGTAACTGGTTCACTAAGGAATCACAGTTCAGCTCTGCTGTGATTCCTGTGAATTATAATGATACTTCAATACTTTTGCATCTTTTAATCGGAGCAGTTCCATGCTAGGAGCCAACATCTCTGAAACCCATCATTGCCTGCAGATCTCTAAATTCCAATAACTTCAGTGGACAAATTCCACCATCTATTGGTTATCTAACCAATCTAAATTGGCTGGATCTGTCTAACAACCAGCTAGAGGGATCACTTCCAGTGTCAGATGGACCTACACCTGGCCTTGACAAGTTGGTCAAAACCCTACACTTGTATGTTACTTGTTTGCCTAAGTTTAACTTGCTTTATTATGTTCTGTTTCCTTTGTAGTAATGTCATCTAAAGTTTTCTCCTTTGTACAGTCATTTGGGACAGAATAAACTTTCAGGCGAAATCCCAGAGCAAATTTTCAGCTCAAACATGTATCTGATACATCTGTAAGTTTCACTTTTGTTTTCTGTAATTATATTTGGAGTACATAAGTTGCCAGAAAGAATCTAAGTGAGGGCATAACCCTAGAAACTTTCTGCAATAAACAAATATTGCCTTTTGAATAACGTTGCTTCTGTGCCAGAAGTGACTAGTATTAGCAGTTTGTTCTTATTTCTTTTCTTTTCCTTTTTTTTTTTTTTATTGTTTAGTGGATTAGCAAATCTGCTCTATTCCTCTTTTTCCTTCCTTTTCAGTTTTCATCAAATCACAGGCTGGATTATTGGATGTTTGAAAGCTTTCATTTTTCCTTTTTCTTTCTGCCAGGTTATTGGACGGCAACGAACTCATTGACCCTATCCCTTCAACCCTTGGACTTGCGCAATCTTTGCTGGTGGTGTGAGTATCTAGATCACATGCTTAAGCAGATCCGTAATGAGATTATTGTTGGAATTGGATTTCATTGCTGGTTTGACTGAACAAGTTAGTATTTTGGCTGCAGACGCCTTGATAACAATTACTTAAGTGGGAATGTTCCATCAAACCTCAACAATCTCAAAAATCTTACTGATTTGTAAGCATGCAAAAGATGGAAGATAAGCAGTCTTTGCATTTATTAATTTATCTTCCCTAATAGACAATGTTTTGTAAACTTCTTTTCAGGTATTTGTCTAACAATACTCTGAGCGGTACTTTACCCAACCTTACTGGCATGAGCAGTCTCCAAACCTTGTAAGTAGCGCATGCCTTTTCCATAATAACTAAAGTAGCCCTTTTTTCTTAGTCTTTTTCTCCCTTTCCTATGTGTCTGCAATGCATGCACTTTTATGTCTCCAGTTGAAATTGTTATTCATATAATCCTATACTGTTGTCATTGATTTTCATTCTAATAATATGATTGTGTTCTGCAGGGACTTGAGTAAAAATAGCTTCGATTCCTCTGCGATTCCTAGATGGGTTTCATCTTTGTCGTCCTTAACAACATTGTATGTGCATCTCTCTCTCTCTCTCTCTCTCTCTCTCTCTCTCTCTCTCTCTCTCTCTCTCTCCCTGTGAGGCAAGGGTGAGAAGAAGAGAACAATAGAATTGGGAATTTCAGGAAGACTTTCAATTCTAATTAGACTTAATAACTAATTAGACTATTAATCAGAATCTTTATTGAAAGATAAACTCTTAATAAATATATTATTTCCTTCCTTATCTGCATCACTCTCTCTAGTTTAAATGAAGAAGCCAAATATTTCCTTTTAACGTCACACTTCATTGAGGGCCATATGTTTTGTCAAGCGATCGCCCAGAATATCTTTCCATCCCCAATGATACTGTTAGCAGCGATAAGATGTGTAAAAATCAGGCTAGTAAATGGCATAATAAATCAATCTCTGAATGTGTTCTTTGCTCCTCCCTCTTTCCTTCCCTCTCTTCCTTGCCCTTTTACTTTGTTTTCTGCGTGTTCATGGACACATGTCCATGTATGCCTGAATGCATACACATTGATGGGTTCCTATCAAGTTAAAAGAACAATTGATTTCTTTGCAAGGCAGGAGGATGGAAAGCACTCAACTTCAAGGTCAAGTTCCCACCGACCTCTTCAACCTTCCAAATTTGGAGACTATGTGAGTATCAGCTTCACTTCAGGCACTATCATTCCTTGTCATGGATGTTCATAACTATGGTGAAGTGTATCCTGTTGATCCAAACCATGGAGATGATAACTGGAGGCTAATTATTTCTATCTTTGTCATCTTGTACAGAGGACTAAAAGACAACCACTTAAATGGCACTTTGTCTATGGGCACAAAATTTAACCGGCTGAGGCTCGTAGATTTGCAGAATAATGAAATTGATGGGTTCAGTGAAACAGGAGAACACAAAATTGAGATAAGGTGAGAGAATTATTTCTTCTGGGTTTTTTTCCCCATTAATTTGTTTTCGCTTAAGATCTTGGCTCTTATTACTAGGGAGGTCAAATTGCCTTTAGACGTATCTTTAAATGTTAAAGCTTCTAGATGTCTTTCTTTGCTCACTGAATTTTATTAATTTGTGCAGACTTGCTGGTAACCCCATTTGTGATGAGACAAGAATAACAGAAGCTTACTGTGCACGCCCACAATCAAATTCCACATCCTTGTTTACTACGCCTTTCTCCAACTACCGCCCAACTCGTAGATGCAGTTCAGGCCAGGTTTATAGCCCCACGTGCATGTGTGCACATCCATATACAGGAACTCTAGTTTTTAGAGTAATTTTCTTCTCAGACTTGGGGAATCAAACCACATATAGAGCTCTACAGGATTCTTTGATGCAGTTCTTCGAGTCCAATCAATTTCCTGTTGATTCAGTTTCACTAAGTAATCCAAGAATGGATTCGTTTAAATTTCTTCTATTGGACCTTAATGTCTTTCCAAACGGCCAAGCTAGTTTCAATCGAACAGGAGTTTCTATGATTGCATATGCATTTACCAGCTTGTCTTATTTCCCGCCACCATATACTCTTTATGGAACTTATTTTTTCCTTGGTGAAGTTTACAACTACTTTGCAGGTATCTACACAATTATTATAGAACCGTAAAATTTAGCTTTTTTTGAAGTTACTCCACGCTTTTTATGCTCATATGTGTCTTCTTCAGATGAACCTAAAAACTCCAAAAAATCAACTATTGGCATCATTATTGGAGCAGCTGGTGGTGGCTCTCTACTTCTGCTACTTTTACTTCTTGCTGGGATTTATGCTCTTCGTCAAAAGAAGAAGGCAGAAAGAGCAAGTATAGAGAGCAACCCCTTTGGTATGATTAGCATTTATTTACTGTATCATATTCAAGTTGATTGCACATCAACTCTACTGGACAACAGTGATACATCTTAGAGATTTTGTAGTGGGTTTGACAGTTCAAAGCGATGAGAGTTGGGATTAATTTGGATGAGAAGAATTTTTGTTGCTTTGGTTCTTGGGAAGTTGAAGGAAAATTGGAGTGAGAAATGCCAGTAGAATTTCCATTTTTTATTCATTTATATTTATAAAGATAATTAAATGGTCGCTATATATTTAATGTGTATTTAAGTCTTCAATTAAAATTAATGAATGGTTAATTATTCAATTACTTAGGTAAATAACCTAGTTTAAATAGCGATGTGGTCCTCAGATAACTTTTTTAAATAGAAACTGATTGAGAGATGCTTTGGATTTAAATTTAGTAACTTTATTTTTACTTTTTATATATAAATTTGATATGAAAATTTAATATATTATATAAATAATAATTAAAATTTTTTTATTAAATAAATACTTAATAA